ACTCATGTGATCTAGTGACTGTATCACCATTCATCATCATCAGTATAGGACTCTCTACCTTTATGACAGTGCGATAGGAAGAAGGCCCGGCCTCTCCTGCAGTTGACTGGATTGAATCTATCAACAACCAGTCCTGGGTACTCCAGTATACTTCCTTTAAATACACTCATGGCCTCTTCTTCTTGTTAAAAGATCCCGCCAGCGGGAACGTACAACTGACCACACCTTCTTTAATAACTAAAGATAACTATCCCCACCCACTTCATAAATTGATGTCTTTAATTTTAAAATATTCTTTTAACACAACACAACATTGCATAAAATATTATTTTTTATTAGTCACTCAGTTTAGGAGTCCGTTATGTGATGTTAGTGTATCCACTTTTGGTTGGGCGGAGACTCTTAGAACAGGCAGAACAAGTAAAGGCAAAGAAAATAGCAAAAATAAGACTAAGAATGAGAAGAACAATCATCCCAACAATGAGGTCAACAGTAGTGTACGGGTAACGAGTAAAATAATAAGAAGAAATAAAACTAGAGCTTTTATCCAGCATGTAGCCCAGGGACCATCCAATGAATATATCATTAACCTAACGAGAGGGAGGGAGAGTCAGCTGGAGGTCATGTGACTATCATGTGACACATTACCTGATACTGGAAGGATATAGTCCATTGGTTCTTTGAGTTATTAGTGAACCCCATTCCTCCCAGTGCATGCAACAGGAACATCCCATCAATACAGCGGAACGCCTTGTAGTAACTATCATCAGTAGACTCCACCTACAGTACATGTACATTAATATTAATAATAATAATAATAATAATAATGATAATAATAAATATCTTTACTTCATTCCAGTCCATGCTACAACGTTTACTGACACTTTGATTAAAACTATCCAATTGTTCTGGAATCAATTTTGACACATTAAAAGCGCTGGATGTGTAATAAAAATTAGAAAAACCCTAAAACAAGAACATGTCACATGACCTCTGGCCCCTCCCCCTCTCTTCCTCACATAAAACACTCCATGAGGATTAGGTGGAGTATATTCAATGGGTTCTCCACTGGATATGTTAACAAAGAAATCCATGGCACTTCTAATTAATGCCCAACACATTTCGGCATTACTGGACCCCTTGATGGTGTGATTTGTGAAATTACCATCACCAGAACCTAACTGACGTGTACAGTAGTGATTGTCAAACAGGTAAGACGAGTTAGTCTGGAATATAAAACCAGTATGATAGCAAGGGAACTCAACTGTACTGGCATAAGATGTATTCTAAATAAAACAAGATAACGTCAGATCAACTGACATACCATCCACTACCTTCACAGCATAGGCTAGTATCTCC